GGAATGTGAAAGTTTCTATATATGGAATAAACAGATAGATACAACCACAACATGCAAAACGCAAATATTCGACGTAAAAAAAACATATGATTTCAAAGATGTAAAAATATTGAATGCAGAGAAAAATCCAAACAAAAGAAAAAAATTGGAAGCACTACAATTCAAAGAGTTAAAACCTAACATAAAATATCAGGATCACTGTTATATTTGTATTCAGGTACTTACATTAAAAAAATATAGATGAAGCTAGTATCATTCTACACACGGTTATTTTGTTTGGTTGTAATTAAGCGCAAACCTGCAAAATGGGCTGTCTTTGCTTTGCCCACTACGGGTATCGAAACCGATTTTTAGCGTCGTAAACCAGCAGACTTATCGCTGAGCCAGTGAGGGTCTCGATTGTTTGATTGGATGTGTTTGTAATTGTACGTATTTATACTCTGAATGTCGTAGGTGACATATATCATTGTTATAGACGAAACGATGTATTCAAACACATATATAATCCCATGAATAGCTGTTTCAAAAATTATATATATATTCTATAACTAAGTGGGTTGATGGTCACGCTTTAAACACGACATAAACAGTTGGTTAGTTTACTACAGAATATCTTAAGATACTCAGAGACCAATTGGCAGAGTATTTTGGGTTAATGTACGAAAAATATATTTTAAATAACACTAGAAAATAAAACCAACCCTCCAGTTTCAGAAGGGAGGTCCAGGCACAAAACACAAGTGTTTGATACTAGTACTGGAAACTCGGAAAAATTTTGAATATTTGATTTTGATGACAGAAAGGTAAAAAAATATATTTCAAACTATTTAGTATCATCGACGTACTTGTAGATTGATAAAAAATTTTATTATAATACATTTGAAAATATAATTTCTGAGGATGACCAAAATAGATAAAATACGTTGCTAGGTAACTATTTTACATCCAAATCCTTTTTTTTTCTTTCAGTTAGATGTTATCGCTTTCATGTGGACAACTACAAGCAGAGAAATATTGCGTTTTAAGTAAAATACCTTCTGGGTATTTCTCGCGATCATTCGAAGCAGCATATCAAATATATAGAAACATTTCACATGGAGAATAAAACAAAATATATTCAAAGTACTCTTTACAGCTACCTTGTAAGTCATCTTTCCACATTTTAAAAAATAAATGTTAGTTTAATATCTTTTTTTAAACCCATCAGATTGTTTGGTCTGCTGAGTACAGTAAATATGTCTTGACATTTCATAAAATATATGTGGGAGACTGGCATCATTAATGGAACAACATCAATAATAATACTACAAAACTAAAGACTGCCTAAATTCGCCAATGACTTTATTAATTTAGAGTTCAAAATAATTACAAATATATAAACCTTTTGTTAGACATTTTTCGGTTAAAACTGCCAGAATTATTTATTTATATTTTTAACTTTTTTTAATATTTGCATATTTTGAATTTTATTTTATATTTTTCGTAAAATAAGTCAAACGACTCATCAAAATTTCCTTTACACTTGCACAAAAACATAAAACTGGGCATTTTTATACATCATGATAGTGGACAACATAGTAAAAAGATAAAGTTTAAATATAGCACACATATGTGCAAATTTAAGACCTTTTTTAAAAATAAACGATATATGTATATTAGAACACTCATTCTTAGAAGAACTGTAAAATACTGACGGAAAACATTACTCAGTTTTAAGACCGCTCTCGTTTCTTGTTCTTTTTGAAAAACACGACGTCACTTGGAAGGAAGAGACCTGTGGAACTTAAGATAGGCGTCAACGATACTCACGTCATCTGATGAATACTCGTTGACCTTAGGAACGTGACTAACTTTCGACGATGGACCGTCAGACACACTCAAGATAGATGTGGATGGGGAGGCCAAGTCGAACAGGACAGTAGACGACTTCCTTGGTAAATATGCCACGTGATGATTTCTAAACATTTTATTATTTTCTATTATTGTTGGAGCCAAAAGTGGTTTGAGTTCGTGTTCCTTTTTCTTGGCATTTCTCTCGGTGTATAATTTCAGTTGTTTTCGTTTGATCAAAAGAATTGCTACTAATATTACAAAAACCAGTAAAAGGATACCTACAACTGGTGCAATTATAAAAACGGATATTCTGTCTTCTTCATTCAAGACACCGATGTAGTTGTGATCAGATCTAGTCCCTAGCGAACAACGCAGGTCTTCATTTGTAAACGTAACTTTTTCATCCACAACTGACTTCTTTGTTACCGTTTCTTTTAATTCCAGTTTTTTCAAATCGTCTTTATTTGTTACATCACTATAAAGCAGTTGCTTGAGTTTCTGTACGAAACGTAAAGTAGAGGAATCGTTTTGTGCTACTGTACTCAGAGATTTATGATTTAAGTGACTAAAGGTAGTGCTATTGATCTTGTAACTTTCTAATATATCTGTCTCTGTGAAAGTAGGGACAACGTTAGGCCAGTCTTTTCGTTTGTTCCAGCCAAATTCGTGATTTTTATATCCCACCAGTCCAGAGTCACCAGGTTCGAACATACTGTAATACCTATCCCCAGTCTCCTGATGTTTCTCAACAAATCTGTTGTAGTCAACTTTTTTATGTTTCCCGACTGTTTTCAGCACGCCAGCTAATTTCTTCCTATTCATGCCCTTATAATTTGTTTGATATTCTTTTGTGCCTTTGCCTCCAACCTCTCCGGATTCTTGCAGAACACCCAAAGCAGTAAAATGTTTTAACCTCAGGTTCTCCGTTGTGTTCATGGGCGACGTAATAGCTCTAAAACTACCATATCTAAGGTTGGATTCAAGCTCATCTTTTGTCAAATCATTTTTACCCTCAATATTTTCAGGAATTTGATTAATAGTTGAAAGGGGAAGATTATATCGGCTACCATTTTTATTCCACGTTTCATTTTCACTTTGTATAGGCTTAAAGTACTTAGGTTGCAATACATACTGAGACAGGCCTACATTGTTTGTTTCTTTTGTCTTTATTGTACTTCCTGTGGTTGTATTATACAATTCAATATACTGAGATGTATTTACAATGTTCATTGTACCACTAGTGATACATCTATTACTAATGTTAGGGCATAGTTTATCTGACCTTGATCGGTTTCGATAATTTTTTGTTGGCGATGGTAAGCTTGTGCTTATTGATATTTCTTCTTTCTGTTTTAATCTTAAACGGTCAGATAATTTTTTAATATTTAACAATGGCTGCAGCTTATTAAGACTACTATTAACTTCTTGAGAAATGTTCATAAACGTTGGGGCTTTTTGTGATATAACATAATTACCTACTTGTGAATTTTCTTCACTGACGTTAGTCCACGTGTTATTTATAATATGGGATAGAGGCAGCAGACCCTTTTTCATAACTGTGGAGTAATTATCAGTCCCGAAAATAGGTCTAACATTACTGGTTAAACTTGTATTTGTAATTGATAAATCATTCCTATTGAATGGAGGGCCAATTCTAGAGTTAGAATTCGAATTATGCTTCACTATTTCATTTTGAACAGTGAATGACTGAATTGAGAATGAGTTTTTATCCTTTAGAACACTGTTGAAAATTCGTAATCGGCCATTACTAAACATTCGGCCTAATGATCCCAATTTCATTTGAGACCTAGGCCTAGAATTTTTGACATTGTCAAGTACATCAGAGCTCTTTTGGTACCATTGCAACTGTACACAGTTAATAGTTGTTAAAATATAGAAAATTAAAATAATAGTTAGCCTATACCGTTCCTTGAACTCATCAAACTTCATTAAAAAGTTTTCCTTCCTTCAAACTGGTTTATGGTTGATACAATAAACAAAAACCTAGGGTTCTATTTAGGCCTAGTGTACGCTAACATTCACTTAGTCTCAATGTTGTTAATAGGAACAGTGTCCCTCCTAGCGACTTAAGATCATAACGAAGAGACAACAATAAGTAAGCAAAAAATTAAAGATTTTTCTTATATAATTCTGAATGTTCCCTTAAAAAATACACTATATGAAATTATTTTCCATCTTAGAAAAAAATTACAAACTAGCTTACTTAATCCCGAAGAAAATATTTTGTAAATTAATGATTACTGTAGCGTTACATTTTATACAATATAATTTTGCATTCAATTAAGGTGTTCTTAGGGTATTTGGGGGCCTTTTATTCTATTCAGTCCCAGCCTGCCAGCGTGGTGCCGTTGGTATTCTGTACAAGAAATGTTGATATGAAATACATTTCTTATGTTAAAATTTATTCAATTACTTTTTAAGCCTAAAAAATAAAATCATTTTACACTTATCTTAAGCTGTCTGCTATATTGTTTGTCAGTACTTTTATAACTACTACATCATTCAATTGAAGCTTATTTTACGTGCTTTAGCAATGATAAAGTTATCAATATTTTTGTGAAATCTATTCCACGTGATATGTTATGCTTAACGCCATAATGGAAGAGTTTTTGATATGGTGTATCACAAACAAGTTTTGATGAGTTTCAATTTTGAAAAGGAATGCTCACGTGATGCAAATATCACTGAAATTATCTGTAAAATTCACATGATGAAAATTTTTGAAAACAACTAAACAAAATTATTCATTATCAAAACGTTTAATGTCTTGTGGGCTGTTTCTGGTTTCTTTGTTCAAGCATAATCAAAAGCATTCTAAGTTCACTTCACAATCAACAATCGTTAATTTCCCATTTGAGAGAGCAACTTGAAGATTTTTGCATGATATCAGCAGATCACCTGAAGGTTTCGAGTTTAAAATGTTAATATTATACAAACATCCAGACATTTTATTGTATCCTTCAAATAACTGAAAAAAATTCTTTGAAAAAGTATTTATTACTATAAAAGTAACTGAAATGTAAAAAATAGAAACTGTTTTATGTTACAGTAGGTAAAATAAAGAAAAATAATAATAATAATATTCCACAAGGTACACTCGCAAGTTACTCGTACGTTACTGTAATTCGATAGGATAACGTCAGCTACACGTTCACCAAGTGATTTACAACTTGTGTAGCGGGAATATTAGTTACACACGGTTAAAAGGGCAGTAAAACAATAAAATTTTAGTAGAAACAGATGTATACTGTTATGAGTTTAAAGCTATTTAGGATAAACAAATCTAGTTGCATGTTACAATCTTAAGTCATTCTAGAAAAAAAAATGGTAATTTAGATTTATTTCATTTTTTTTATGGGGGGTTACAAGGTCGGTCAAATTGGCCAACCTCGTATAGAGTTAGAGTAGAGAAAAAAAGCAAATAAAGTATAAAGTTCTACTAGAAAAAGAAACGTTTGCAATTTATTTAGGAGGTTGTAGAGGTTGTGCAAATGAAATTTGATAATTTTCAGAAGTATTTTTAATCTTAACATGAAAATCACTTTGCATTCGGAACAGTCAATACTTTGACTCTATATATCCACGGAGAAATTTTTAGTGAAAATAGTTCATAAAAATTCTGATTTTTTTTGCCTACAAAAGATTTAATGCTTACTGAAAGCCTGCAAAATTTCGTGAATATACACAAAAAATATTAGAAATTACAGTATGGAAACTATAAAGGTCAATTTGGGGTCACGAACTCGGCTGACTCCGTAGTAAGTGTGTGATACCTTGTTTATCTGTACCCTAAGAGTATTCCTCCAAAGTACCAACAATTAAACTTGGTGTATCAAATTTATTGTTGATATTTTGAGTGCTTTATTAACAACGATATACCTCAACCAAAACATTACACCACATAACTGTTAACACAATAAATTCACAGCTGCTTATCTCTTTCAAAAAGGAATGTGTCACAGAATAACGTGCAGGATCTGTTAATCTATCTCTGCTTCGATCGCCCATCTTGAATTATATCGTGGAAGCATACCACAATGTATTTTCGACTTCCAACAAGTATCACATAAAGGTTTAATGGTTATTTCAACATGTTTCTTTAGTAAAACCTACCAAAATAGAAAGAAAAACAAATACACACATTTTAACACACCAAAATATTTCATAGCAGCGATTGATGACCTTGCTCCATTACAGCCTATGTTCTTGGAAAGGAACAAAAATATAAAATGTGAGACTGCAATCAAGATGTCTACACCATTATCATATCCTTTGCCTCCTATATCAGGAATGTTCAGATGCAGCTCGTCTAGTATGGTGAGTACGACACCAACAAGCCCTTTCCCAGCTGTATCAAGCACACACACACAAAATACACCTCTACCCATACAGCATCTTCATGTATTTAACTATAATATTTTTGATAAACAACATCAAGAAGTCCATTTATTCACAGCCATCAGTGAAATTGCTATAGACATTTTAACAATGCCCCATCTTTGCAAATTGGGTAAGCTCATTTTGGTTAAAAAGAAAGAAAAAAAAAAGACTCATTATGGAAATATTTTTTTTTCGGTTTCCTTTTTTGAGCAATGCCATTGGCCAAAAAGGCAACGAGTTAGCCTATTTTTAGCTTCATAAGTAAATCCCGAAGATGCTGGTAAACAGACGCGAGTTAAAATGATGCATTGCAACCTAGAAAGTCCCAATAATTGAGAAACCACGTATGCAAATCCAGAGCCGAAGACGACAAACAATCCAAAGTGGAGGAAAAAAGGGAGAGAATGTCACCAGAAAACCCCTCAGGTTTTCGGCAGAGAGCCTCATAGAGGAGATGGATGGTAGAGAGATATTGTAAAAGAGTTGTGAGGATAAAATGAAGGTGGGAAAATTGGGCATGGGTCAGACTTACAGGAGATTTGGGGGTCGCACTCCAAACAGGTAAAATAGAACCTAACAATTGTTGGTCTAGAAAAGGGTAGTCTGTACGATAATATGCAAGAGCAAACTGATCCAAAGCCCACAGGGGGCAAGGCATGCTAATCCTGTCACTTAATTGTGAGGCAAATTGGTCAGCATGTACCCGAATATCTGGGGACGGGGTAAAACCAAAAAGGGATGGGAAGATTGGTCATGTGGCAAGGAAGGACGGGTTCATAGGAAATAGGGGAAAGGGGTAAAACGTCACATACCTGAGAAACAAATTCCAAAAAAAGACCATAGTAGGCCTAACTGAATCATCAGAGGGTCATGGGAAGGCACAGCAGAATCAGAAGGTGGAAATAAATGATCCAAGTCCTCATTAGCCTCAACAGGCTCAGCATGTTCTGGAGGAAGTGGGTGAGGTACAGAGATAGAGGTTGACCCATGTAACCTTCAATCTCCCTGGAAATAAACGCTGATAAATCTCCAGCTGGGTCGGCCGCACCTGAGGCCTGTGACATAGCGCTAGATGCAATTGTGAACCTCGAAGTGGTAACAAGAATTTTGGAATTCATAATTATGAAGAGTCAACCAAAATCGAAACTATTAATAATAATGTGACTGTAACGAACTAGGATTAAGTTAGAGTGAAGAAACAGTTTTAACAACTTGGAAGTATTGTTTTGAATAAGTTGATGTCTTCTTACAGTAACACATAACTTATCGGTGACTATGTTGTGTGAGGTAACAACTCAATAAGTTGATGTCTTCTTACAGTCACACATAACTTATACATGACTATGTTGTGTGAGGTAACAACTCAATAAGTTGATGTCTTTCTACAGTAACACATAACTTATCGGTGACTATGTTGTGTGAGGTAACAACTCATGCATATAAATAAACCAATTTTTACATAATCAAGCTGTAGTGTTAAACATATACAGTCAGGTAAAAATATAATGATGAAATCTGGACAATAAAATAAGAAATAAATATAATTATAATATTATTAACACAAAGTCGTCCCTAATTGAGAACTGCCAACCACATCTGCTTCAAGCGAAAGGGAAATCCATAAAGATCTAGAAGACAAGTACTTCATGTGGTATCCTACACAAGCTACAGTACAAGTGGTATCCTACATGTGCTACAGTACAAGTGGTATACTACATGTGCTACAGTACAAGTGGTATCCTACATGTGCTACAGTACAAGTGGTATTCCTACATGTGCTACAGTACATGTGCTACAGTACTAGTGGTATTCCTACATGTGCTACAGTACAAGTGGTATCCCTACATGTGCTACAGTACAAGTGGTATCCTACATGTGCTTCAGTACTAGTGGTATCCTACATGTGCTTCAGTACTAGGGGTATCCTACATGTGCTACAGTACAAGTATCCTACATGTGCTTCAGTACTAGTGGTATCCTAAATGTGCTTCAGTACAAGTGGTATTCCTATATGTGCTACATAGACAAAGGAAGAAGTGCATGTGCTACAAGACAATGGGCATTCTTACATGTGTTACAAGATACAACACAAAGTGACCAATCACAATAACACATGATCCAGAATGTGAGGTGATCATGTTAATGTGGAGTTTAATCAAGTGAACATCCCTCCAGATTGTAGGTTTAACTGAATCAAATAAAAGTCACACTGTAATTTCCACTAACAGCCAAGATGCAGGTACAGTAAGGTTATGTTGTAGGTTTAACCAGGCCAACAACAAGGTTACAGATTTAATCAGGACAATTATCAGATTATAGATTCAGCCAGGCCTACAGCAAAGGCTACAGGTGCATTCCGTTGAACAGACAGGTTATAGACTTAACTGTGTGAATGGCCAGGTTATAGATCTAATTGTGTCAACAATCAGGTTATAGAATCAGCCAGGCCTAAAGCAAGGCTACAGGTGTATCTCATTCAACAGCCAGGTTATAGATCTAATTGTGTCAACAATCAGGTTATAGAATCAGCCAGGCCTAAAGCTAGGTTACAGGGGTATCTCATTCAACAGCCAGGTTATAGATCTAATTGTGTCAACAATCAGGTTATAGAATCAGCCAGGCCTAAAGCTAGGTTACAGGGGTATCCCGTTCAACAGCCATGTTATAGATCTAATTGTGTCAACAATCAGGTTATAGAATCAGCCAGGCCTAAAGCTAGGTTACAGGGGTATCCCGTTCAACAGCCAGGTTATATATTTAACTACGTCAACAATCAGGTTATAGATTCAGCCAGGCCTAAAGCTAGGTTACAGGGGTATCCCGTTCAACAGCCAGGTTATATATTTAACTACGTCAACAATCAGGTTATAGATTCAGCCAGGCCTAAAGTTGGGTTACAGGTGTATCTCGTTCAATAAGATCATAACATAACATAATATAATATTTTGGAACAACATCTTGGCTGTTCCATCCTCAAAACTAAATTAAAATGATTAAAAAAATAAAATAGAAAAATGTTAAACCCAGCCCTTTTCATTCATATATTTATCAAGCTTTTTCTTAAACTCACTTAAATTTACTGCCTCCACAACATCTGAAGGCAACCCATTCCAAAGGCCAACCACCCTGTTATAAAAATAAAATTGTCATAGCTGAAGATGACTCCTACCTTGCCAAAATTTATATTTTTGGCCCCTAGTCCTACTATTCTCACTGTTAAATATAAAAAAATATGATTCATCAACACTAACATTTCCCTTTACAATCTTAAACACCTCAATCAGATCCTCCCTAATGCTTCTTTTTTCAAGAGAAAACAATTTGAGAGATTTCAGCCTCTCCTTGTATGACAACCCCTTCATTCCAGGCACCATTGTAGTAACCCTTCTCTGAACCCTTTTTATCAATTCAATGTCTTTCCTAAGGTAAGGAGCCCAAGACTGAACAGAATATTCCAAATATGGCCTAACCAGTGACCTGTACAATGAAAGTACAACCTCTTTAGACTTGTATTCATTATTTCTATAGATACAATCTAAAATCCTATTTTCCTTACCACTAGCAAAAGCACACTGCTTGGATGGCTTTAGAGACTGATCGACTATTACACCAAGATCCCTTTCTTTCATAACACTGTTAAGGTTATTTCCATCCAAATTATACTTATAATTCAAATTATGATAACCCACATGCATTATCTTGCATTTGTTATAATTATAACCCATCTGCCATTTATTTGCCCAACTCACTAAATGATCTAAATCTATTTGTAAATCAGCAGCATCCTCTTCATAGCTAGCAACACCTAAGACCTTAATATCATATGCAAGTTTAAGTACTTTGTTGACTATTCCTTCATCTATGTTATTGCTGTAACTCAAAAAGGGCAAAGGTCCTAAGACTGGGCCTTGAGGTACCCCACTTGTGACATTAATTCAGTTTGACAGAATTCCATTTGTAACAACCCTCTGCT